CCCTCAACTTTCTCTCACACTTCCTGCCTCCCAGGCCAACAAAGAGGAACCTAAACATTTTTTCTTTGCCTTCAGGAATCTGGGAAATTCAGAGAGGCAGGGGTGCCAGTTCTAGAGCATACGCTTCATGAGGACAAGGGCTTCGTCTCGAATGAGCACTGCTGTCTCCTCGTCAGCTAAAAGAGGTGTGCAATGAATCTTTGGTGGTTAAATAGATTGTAGTTCTTCTTAGGCTGTTTGTTGCACATGTACGGCAGGGTTTCTCAGCATGGACTCTTGCCATTTTGGACCTGATCACCCTTTGTTGCGGGTGCTATCCTGTCCAGCCCTGGCTTCTGCCCACTCGATGCCAGCAGCACCCCTCAAGTGGTGATAACCGGAAATGTCTTCTCCTCAGAGGCCCCATCACCTCTACCTAGATGAGCACCCTTGGTCTGCAGAGAGAGGGTTTGGTTAGGGTTCTTTTGAGAGGTTTGGGTTTGTAAAATGAAGGAAGTCAAAAGATTTTTTTAAAGATGTGAGAATGTACTGTATGTATCATACCAGTTTTAAAAAAAAAAAAATGTCTCTTTCACTGAAATCCACTGCACACACTTCCCTTCCAGTTGCTGCAACTATCTGTTAGAGGAACAGGGAAGAGAGGGCTGCCGGCTGCCTGCTTCCTGGGGCTGCAGCTTTGCCAGCAGCTGCCCTCACTGCTACTTTAAGAAACAGTAACTGTAGATGGTACAGCTTCCAGTTCACCGTTGAATCAGCAAGTCCGGTACAGACTGACCTGTTTACAAGGCAGATCACTTACAAATCTCGGCTTGTTTTCCCTTTTAAAATTGATTTTGTGGATATGGCCCAGTTCTGTTTGCTAAAGATGGCTGAGGTTCAGGCACGAGGTATAGGCTTTTTAGTGTTTTCTAGTGACTGTCTGGATCAGATTTGGCTTACAGGAGAATGGCTTTCCTTGCGCTGGCCAAGCCAGCCAACGATTCATTACTGTCAGAAGTTCTGACAGCATTTTTCTTATTTTGACACCTGGATATTCATAAAACTGTCCAGCATCTGGAAGGAACCTTGAAAATTAGAGAATCCAACCTCCTTCATTAAGAAATGAGGCAACTCGTGGCACAGGGAGATCACCTTGGTGCTTTGCGACCACCTAGAGGAGTGGGCTAAGGAGGGTGGAAGGGAGGGAGTTGCAAGAGGGAGGAGATATGGGGATATATGTATATGTATAGGTGATTTACTTCGTTATGAAGCAGAAACTAACACAACACTGTAAAGCAATTATACTCCAATAAAGATGTCAAAAAGAAAATTAGGCAAGTCATTTTCCATAGAAGCTGACGCATTTCCTTTCAAACACCAATATATCAGCATCCTAAGGTGTTAAGCAGAATAGAGCTAGCGTTGAGCGTGATCCTGTTGGTTTTAGTGAGGACCTTCTCTACCTTTATCTGATGGAAAGACTGTTCGAAGAACATAATGTGGACACGATCTTGTATTAAAAGTAGGATTCAGCAAAAACGGCCGCCTTGATGAGAACACACCAAGAGTCAGTTATAAAACTCCATTAAAAAATGTAAGTGTGTAGGGGCTTCCCTGGTGGCGCAGTGGTTAAGAATCCGCCTGCCAACGCAGGGGACACGGGTTCGAGCCCTGGTCCGGGAAGATCCCACGTGCCGCAGAGCAACTAAGCCTGTGCCGGGAAGCTTCCACATGCCGCAGAGCAACTAAGCCCATGCGTCACAACTACTGAGCCCGCGCGCCACAACTACCGAACCCGCGTGCCTAGAGCCTGCGCTGTGCAACAAGAGAAGCCACTCCAGTGAGAAGCCCACATACTGCAACGAAGAGTAGCCCCCCGCTCGCCGCAACTGGAGAAAGCCCGCGCGCAGCAACGAAGACCCAAGCAGCCAAAAATAAATGACTAAATAAATAAATAAATTTATTAAAAACAAAATGTAAGTGTGTATATGGCTTGACTGGACAGTTTAGCAGTGAGGGGTAAAGAGCAGGAAGTCTCAGGTCACCTGTATGCAAATCAGGTTTTTGTGTCCTGAGGCCACACCTTATCAAACCTCTGTGGGCCCTGGGCTGCTCTGCTGTAAAACGGTAAGAAGTAATAATGACATCTGAATACGCAGGCTTGCGAGGCTTCAGTGCTGTGATGAAGGTGACTTGCTGAGCACACAAGCAAGAATTCCGTCCGTGCACGTCAGCCCCCGGCAATGTTGTCCTACGAAGCGCTGCCTCCTTGTTTCACGCTAGAACCCTTCTTGGACTCTGGAGACTGGACTGTAGAGCTTTCTTCAGAAACCTAGAGCAGCGAAACTGAACAGACCTAAAGGACTTTGTATAATTATCTCCTGCATCAGAATATGAGTAAAAGACCAGAAGGTGGAGACAGAGGCGTTTAAAAAGAGGCATATAAAGCAAAGGTTTATCAGTGGTATTTTTTTCTGGGTGAAATGGTGGTATTCTCATGTTTTATTTGCTTAAATTGACATCATGTTGTATGAGGTGAACACAAATTATACTCATGCTAAACCATCATAAATTGAATGGTAGCTTTAAAAATTAGTAAAAATTTGGGCTTCTCTGGTGGCGCAGTGGTTGAGAGTCCGCCTGCCGATGCAGGGGACGTGGGTTTGTGCCCCGGTCCGGGAGGATCCCACATGCCGCGGAGCGGCTGGGCCCGTGAGCCATGGCCGCTGAGCCTGCGCGTCCGGAGCCTGTGCTCCGCAACGGGAGAGGCCACAACAGTGAGAGGCCCGCGTACCGCAAAAAAAAAAAAAAACACTTAGTAAAAATTCAAAATACACAGTTTTAAAAATGAAAAAGTGCAACGGACATTTCCTACCTTTGGATCCTTATACCACCCTGTCCCCCAACCCCATTAGGGAAGGAACCCTGTCTATATTCTGCTATATGCTTTGGGCAGCCAGGGGTATATCTTCTAGGCATATTTGGTGGAGAAGTCAGCTAAACTCTTCAAAGGAAGAAAAGTCAGTATTAGAATAAATGCCAGTAGATTTTCATATAAAGGCAATAGACTGTTCATGTGAAAACCTACTCAGAAAAGGTTAAGGTTTGGGGTTTTTTGTTTTAGTTTTCTTTCCCCAATCCTTTTGTAATTTAAAGCCCCCAGACAGCATAAAACCTGTATCAAATAGCAAATTAGTATTTATGTAAGTCAATACTGTAGTTCCCCGGGCAGTCCAGAGAGAGCGACGGATGCATCGTGGGTCAGACGCCACCGTCGCAGGTGCTGACCCAGCACCTCGCTCTTCATCACGTTCTGCAACGTAGCTACTTGAGGCTTCGGGTCTGGCGGCAGAATGCAGTCATGGTGGTTATTGTGGATTTGCATTTGTCAAACAACATCCGGCACACTCATAATAACTAGAAAAGGGTTGTAAACCTGGTGCTTTGGGGAAGGTTGATTTATCAGACTCCACCTGCTCAACAGGGTCCCTTGTTTGCCTCCACACTAGTCCGTAATTATGCTTCCTTGTGACCTCCAGGCTAGGGAGCAGTGTTCAGAAATGCGTTTTTTATATCAGGTTCAACACCCAGGGCCATAATTCCGGGACTGTAGTCTGCAGAGCTCTGCCCCTTGTGCCTGATGCTTGCCCCACACCTGGGCCTAGCCCTCTGCTCTGCCATCCCCTCCACCTCTGAGCTGGCTCAGTTTTGTGCACATCTCTTGCCAGGAAGTTCACCGTCTTGAGGTCCCCTGGGGACTATGTCTCGGAGGGTCGGTGGCTGGTAAAGAGCATTCCTTTTACAGATTCCAGACCCTGGTGGGTCAGCTGTGAGCTGGTGCTTGCCCCTCACCGCCAGCCTCTTAGTTCTTACAGCCAGACGTGGGGCTGTCAAGCATTACTTGAGTTTTTCAACCTGAGGCCTGATGTAGCTGGAACCCAACATTCCTGAGCAAGACCTGCTAATTCAGTACAGGGAGAAAGGAAAGGTTGCAAGGATGGAGAGGCTTCACTTCTGCAGGTTGATGACACCACGTCCTGTTACCCCCGAACCCAGGACATGGTGCTGGGTGAAGCCGGTCTCAGTGGATGGCTCTTCTGGTGAATAAGCTGGTAGTATGTTGCCATCTAGTGGAACATATGGCAAACTAAAGATTAATGTACTCTGACCGCAGAGTTCAGCAGAGCTAATTAAATCAGCCAGAGAAAATAACTGAAAGTATTTTCTACAAACGTAAGGTAGATAGCCAGTGGGAAGCAGCCGCATGGCACAGGGAAACCGGCTCGGTTCTTTGTGGCTGTCTGGAGGGGTGGGATAGGGAGGGTGGGAGGGAGGGAGACAAAGAGGGAAGAGATATGGGAACATATATATATGTATAACTGACTCACTCTGTTATAAAGCAGAAACTAACACACCATTGTAAAGCAATTATACCCCAATAAAGATGTTAAAAAAAAAAAACAAAAAGAAAGTATTTTCTAAAGGCAGGTGTTTTGGAAACACGTGCAAATTCAAGTGAGGCGGAGGGTGACTTTTAGTAATCATGTTTTCTTAAAGTTGGCAAAAGGTCACCCAAGAGTTCTCGAATATTTACCACCAAGGAAGTAACAAATTTTTCAATCATATAACCAGGTCAAGACCCTGCATTGTCATTGTCATCCATACAACAGGCCCAGTTTCCTATCCAGGGTCCTAGGCCAAAAAGGCTTGGTTATCACATGGTTATTTTTTTATTTTTTAAAATGTGATTTTAAGGTTTCCAGTGTCTCTCTTACATTTCCAGTTTTCCTGTTAAACTTCCACAGGATAAATATGCTTATTTGTAGGAGACGCGAGCACCTGACTTGACAAAGTAGGAGTTTCACATTTTAAATTCTAACTAGCATCCCAGAAGTGTCCGCTTCTGTGGTTTCAGACCTGATTTGTGTGAAGACCTGCAGACTTAAATTACATTGTGGAATGTTTCATGAACACTGAAACATTTTCCTTGTTTCTTTGCTCTTTTGCTTCTGTTTGCTTAGATCCCTCCCTGGTGCCACAGCAGCTGAGTGCGCATCAAATCTGAAGAAAATCTACACAGTACAAACGGTACAGGTAAGATCAAGAAACCTGCTGTTCGTGGGACAGTTAATCATCCAACCTGAGACCTGTGCTGTGCTGGCAGTGCCCACCCGGGGCTGTGCCCTGACCTCAGCTCACATGTCCACTCTGGCAGAGCAGCCCTCAGCCACATCTACCCCAAAGGCCAGCTGAGCACATGCCCGAGTGGCCTGCTCTTCTCTTGGTGACGTGTGGAACCTTATCGTCTCCCAGACCCTCGTGACTCTGGTGTGGTTTTGACGATATCGCTCTGCGTCCTCATTTAAGCACCAGCTTAGCCGCTCCCTCTCTGGGCTCTGTTTGCCATCGGTGAGAGGCCCTGGCACCACCTGCAAGCTTACTGAAAGTCACAGGGCAGGATAGTGTTGAGCCTGAAAGTGGAAGGTCTCGGACCCTTGTCCTACTCCACGTTCAAATTCCATCATCCTAAACTCGGCAGGGATCAGCCCTTTAATTTGTGTAAGACTGGTGTGATGGTAGCACCTGCCTCCATGGGTGGGTATGAGGACCGAACGAGATGATGTCTTTATCAGGCTTAGCAGGAGACCTGATACATGGTAGGTTGTCAGCAAATGTAAGCTCTTAGATCTCTTAGTTCTTTCTCTACCCAACTCTTAGGATGAACACAAAAAAACCCTGGTTTATTTAGTTGATCACATTACTGTTTTCTTCCAAAGCAAATTCTATCTAGTTTCTCCCCCTCCATTGTTGTACACACGATAAGCCTGTTAAGGCTGCTTCATACTTGCATTGACTATGTGTCCTGAATTTTCTAGAAGGGCCAGTTTTAAATTGTGTGTTCTGCCCTTAAGTCTTTTAACGTGTTAGAAATTCCAATAGATCGGTGTCTCTTCGGCAGCCTCTCACTTGCACAGGAGTTGTGCAGAGATCTTTTTTCAGACACTTCTCCCAGTATCTGGTTCAGGAAATTTAGTACTCATGGTTATGCAGCCCCAGGAATCTGATTGTAAAGTGCCTCGTGTGGCCACAGAGGGCCCTAAGCCGGGTGTAAAGACGCAGTCCCTACCACAGGCTGTCTCTGAACTATTTGAGAAAATGACCTAAGCATGTGGAGAGCAGAATAACAGTGCTGTTGTAAATAAGCATTCAGTGCCAAGTACAAGCAGTGTCACACGACAGCACGTGGGCCACCGTCCAGAGGGACAGATGCTCTCAGAGTCCAGGAACGGGTCCCCTTCACTTCTCCCCGTGGTGACATTATGGACCTTCTTACCTCTTCCCAGCACCGCTGTGTAAACCTCAGAGCACTTGATTCTAAAGCCTGTCCTCATGTAGAAGTTCTTAGAGCCCCCTGGTTTTTGTTTTTTTTTTTTTGAGGTCCTCATTAGACTTTTCCTATGCTATTGTGACATTGGATCCACATCACAAGTGTGCCTGGGTTTCCAGGAAGACACTGGTAAAGTTACACCGAGGGATTGGTTTGTTTCCCTGGCCCTGTGTGATGACAACAGAGCACTGGTTGAGCCTTGGTATCTGGCAGCAAGTGACATAGGGTCTTCAGGGACCAATTTAAAGTACCCAGGCCGGCACATACTAGGAAATACCTTCTTAAAAACTTCATTGGGATATAATTTTTTCAGTAAATGCAGGTTTCTTAAGTGTGGAAGTTTGATAAATTTTGACAAAGATACACAAACGTGTAACTGTCACCCGATCAAGATTTAAAAATTCCATCCTGTCAGGAAGGTTTTCTTCATGCCCTTTTCCTACCAGTCCTTTACTGGAAGCAACCACTATTCACATTTCTGTCACCATGCATTGGCTTTGTCTTTTATTGAACCTCATATAAATGGAGTACTATATTGTGCCTGGTTCCTTTCACTCCGTAAATACTGAAGGATCAAATGAATGAATGAGAAATTAATAAATGAACCACTTCTCTGTCACAGCAGACTGCTCACATAACGATCTGTTAAGCTGTAACCACACATTCTCAATGGCGGCAAAAAATGATTCTTGGTGTGGCCAGAAAAATCATGCTGTTCTTATGTAGAAAGCACAGATAGGCATACGGTACATAAATAGATATATAGTCTCTTGGTGGTATTAAAGTTTCACAAGAAAGTGATTAGGAAAAGGGCTCCTTCAACATAGGGGGATGATAATGAAACACTGCCCCAGGGGGTCAGGAAGTCCTGTCGTGTGTCTCCGATGTGTCAGTCCTCCGTTTCTTCATCTGTAAAACAGATAGTAGCAGTTCCTCCGCCCTAGGGTTGAGTGAGGGTTAACTGAGATTGCATAGTTCTTAGTAGTGCTTGGTACTTAGTAAGCCCTCAGCTGTTGGCAGCTTTTACAGAAGGTTGGATTCTACGCTTCAGCTTCATCGGTTGACCTGGGAGGTTGTGGGCCTGGGTGTAGGGTGGTCACGCTGCCTGGGCCGGTATCTCACATCTGCTGCTTAGTAGCTCAGGCAAGTTCCTTAACTTCTCTGTATCTGTTTGCTCATCTCTAAGATGGGAGTAATTGTGATACCAACTGCGTCATGAGGTTGTGAGAGTGAAATGGCACAAGGACGTAAAAAGCACCTAGTAAGTGCTGGATAATGATAATGAATTCGTCTGCCGTTATTTGCCTCCTTCTCTTGGAACATCTTCTTGTACGTTCTTCAGTCATGTTTTAAATCACAGAACTGTGTACCACTACTTCTAGATGATTCATTTCAAGCAGTCATTCCCCAGATTATACCACTGTGAATACCTCTACTTATGAAAATGTATTTAACTTGTCGATGAGTTTGGGGATTTCAGGCTGTGTCCTTAATATCTGTGAATAGTCCTTAGTATTTGAGAACCAGCCTCGGTGCTGATTTTAAAGTCATTTGAGGGTATGCGTTTGCCCCACTGTCTTTTTATTTTGTGGTTATATGTGGATTCTTGAACTCTCGCTCTGTCAGCACTAAAAAATTACGTCCCTGATCGTGTCTGTTTTTCCCTCATCTATGTTTAGATGCAGTGTAGTTATCATGTGGTATTAATGATTGCTTTCCATAAGGACATGTTGAATAATATGTCTTTTTGTACTTTGAGGCCCTCAGCAAATCAGAGATGCTGATGGGGGTGGCAGAGGAATTGTTATCCCCATTTATTAGCTGGAGGGGCTGAGGCTGGGAGGTAAGTGGCCCGAAAAGTGGCAGAAACAGCCAATCGCGCTGTGCTCTGGGACTGGAACTCCCTCCTTTTCTAGGTCCATCCTTTTGCTTTTGGTCCACACTGCCTGAGGAGTGAGGGAGGGCTGTGTCTCCAGCTGGCCCACTGGCCCCTGCTGAGGACCGTCTCATCACAGCCACCAGTAATGCCCTCTGGTTGGAGTTAAATTTGTTCCCTACTTACCTGCCTTTCTTGGAAAATTCCATGTTTCATCTAGATGTGTTTTCCAGGCACTTACTGATTCCTTTTACTCTTTTGTAAACATTTCAAAATTTTCCACATTTCTTCTGTGTTTTTGTGTCCTAAATGCATGCAGCGCGGAATAGAACACAGCTTCTGAACAAGCCTGATTTTACCTGTGGCAGAAGGGAGTTACCGGCCAGGTAACAATTTGCAGGGGATCCTCCCTTGCTACCACAAGACCAAAATTCCAGCCCTGAAAACTCATTCCTGTGTAGCATTCTAACCCACCTCAGGTATCACATTCAAGGTTTTGCCACACTGTGTCCTGTTGTTCTATGTCCTATGCAGTGGTCCCATAAATTGACCGACTTTTTACTTAAATTTACGGAAAACAGAAGCTTCATATTTCTTCTGTAAATGCATATCCAGCATCATTTATCATAAACAGAAGGTCTTCAGAGAAATACAGATACAATCTCTTAAAATGAAGAGAATCTTCCTTCTATACTTGTGTATGGCCGGTGATATCAAGGCATCATCCCTTATCAGAAGGTTGTGGAGCTGCTGTGCTCTTGCAGGTCATTAAGGTAGGGCAGCAGATTGCTTTGCAAATCATTGGGAAAGGAGGGCTGTCTCTTTTGGGAGGAGAGGTTTTATAGGTCAGGACCGATAATGGAGAATGACAGAAAGATTGATTCAAAGTCGTCACTGCCCTGGAACACAGCAGGGCAGCCCACGGTGGGTGGCATCCTGCAATAGAATGACCTGCAGTGAACCATTTGGGTGAAGGGACAGGGTCGAGGGAAGAAAGAGAGAAACTCCCTCCCGAAAAAAGAGAGGGAAAAAGCCCTGCAGGCAGGTCTGCTTCATAGTTCTGCTTAGTGAAGCTTAGTATCGAGAATAACAGGACTATGTAGCTGTCATTTAATTTATTCGTGGGGTACGTGATGGGATCAACATTATAGTCACAGCCCAGTTGTGCAGAAACAGAACTGAAGTCAAAGTACCTGGATCCTGTCTGCTGGCATGTTGGCAGTGGAAGCCGCTGTGCAGGTGGGGTGGGAGATTAAATCTTGTAAAGTGGAAGTGATTCAGTCACTTCAGATGTAAAACTTGGTCTCTCAAGGGGGATCAGAATATGCCACCCCAAAAATGTCACTTTAACTTAAGAATTACTTTGAACTGAAGGCAGTTGAAAAACAGCAGACCCAGGAGGAGCTCTCTGACCTCCTCTATCTGCCTGAAATCAGGGCATAAATTACCTTTTTAAAGGTGACATAAATTTACATTTGTCAAGGTATCCCTTTTTCTTACCCCTTGAGTCTGCATAACAAACCTACTAAGCAAATGTATGTACCGTGTATTTCCTCAGCACAGTCACACCATATACCACCTCTAGGGGCCCCAGACCCCCTTTCCTTTGTCTGGTCACTCTCCACAATTTGTCATCCTTTGTTAAAATGGTGTATAAGCTTCTGAGTCCAATCACGTCTTTCGGTTTTCACCAAAGTGAAAGCCCTGTGCACTGAAAAATATTAACATCAATAAACATATATACCTAATGGGCCTTACCCAGGAAGCCGAATACACACTGCTCTGCTGTTTCCCCCAACTTTTCTCCTGTTCTCTCAATGTGTGAACCCCCACGTAGCTCCCTAACTCAGACTTTGTTTTTCATTCATTGACTTAACTGCGTGGTGAGAAATTGCCCACTCCCCTATCAGTCCTCCAAACTTTGGTTCTCACTTTAAGTCAAGACCTTCGGAATGCAAAGCAAAGCCCATTTCTCTCTCCACTACCTGGCTGTCCCAGGTTAGAAACACTTCGCTTTCAGCCTGTTGTATCTGCTGTGAATTTAAAAACATCCGTTAAGCTCTTCAGTTGCCTTTCTTCTGGGCTCTGCCCTTCCCATAAACCATTGATTTACTTGGTGGGATGCAAGCCCCAGCCAATTAGAAATACCTAAGGAATGAAAATGTTTGTTTAAAATTTCAAAAATACTTTCAAAGATTTGTATGCTGTGACCCGCGGAAGAAATTCTGGATTTGTTGGGGTTTTTGGAGGTGTATTTGCTGGATGTTTTTCTTTTTAACACCGTGTTTGTTGCCTGTCACCACATGGCATCTTTTCTTCTCAAGCATTTTCAAGTATATTCTCTTTTTTTTTTTTCTTTTCCTTCAGAACATTTAGTAAAAAAATGAGGAAATTTGCCAGTTTTCCTGGTAATCATTGATTATCTATTTGGCAAAGGACTGTTAGGAGGAGCATAATTGCTTCAATCAGGACTAGTAGGTTGGGGATTTGTTAAGTGGACACCATTGTCTGGTGAATCTAAGCACACCTGGGACTCACCACAGCGCCCTGCCCTCCTTGGTGTCCACACATGTTGACTGAATAAGTGATGCCTGACTTCCCTCCCTCTCCTCGGGTTGTCACTGAGGCTTTTGAAAAAAACACTTCATTATTATTAATAAACATTGTGCTTAGCTTTACTGCAATCTACTGTTTGCAGACCACTTAGAATTAATTATAAGTCTAAGGGCTTTTGAAATCTATTTGCGAGGTTCTATCTGTAGTAAAATTTAGATTATTTAACAAACATAAAAGTATGTTACAGAGAATATGACCAAGAATTATCAAGTTTCCAGTGAAACAGCGCTTTCGCTTCCTCAGGGGAGAAAGAAGGTCTAACTAAGGAGCTGTGTGTTGCCGGGTTCCTTCCTTCAGCTCTTTTGCCATCATACACGCTTGACGAGTATTCTACACACTGCGTGAGGTTTGCAATATGGAAACAGACCGACTTAGTGCCACGGACTTTAATGGGCCTCTGTTCAATGAGGTCACCGCATATTTCACTCTCATTTTGTGTTCATGCAGAAACATGCAAATATGCACTTGAACAAGTACCTTAGGTCAGGGTGAAGTCTCTCACTGTGTCTTCTGGGGCTGTAATCTCTTCCTCTCTCATTTGCCAAGACTAACAAAATCAGTTGTCTGTGTCTTCAGGAGAAGCTTCTAAAGCTACACACTGTAGCACGATCCTTAGTGTGACGTTCTCACCTTTGGCACGGGAGAAGCATTTTGTTGTGTTTTCCAAGGTGCTTCAAACACTGGGTGAAAAGTTAGGATTCGAGAACTTTGGCAAGGGTGTGAGGGCAGGTGCTCTGGCCTGGTATGCCTTTTAGGAGACTTGAAGTTTGCTGGCACCAAAGTCCTCTTGGTGGAAGCAGGGATGTATATTCTACCATAAGTGTGTCCATAAATTCTGCCCAGGTCATTGCCACATCATTGCAGAAGTGCTAGGCTAGGGCTAATGCAGTGGCATAGTCAGTGTGATGAAGGGCACGTACTGGTGGGAAAGGTGCCCCTCACTCTGTGACCTCGTCCATGACCTCGTGACCTGGTCTGTGGCTTCTAGGACTGGAGAAGGTGGACAGAGAGGGCTAACTCTCTTCCTTTTCTTATTGGGACACTAATCCCATCATGGGGGGAGGGGGTCCATCCTTATGGCCTAATTATGCCCGAAGACCCCACCTCCTAATTCCATCCTGTTGGGGGCTTGGGTTTCACTATATGAGTTTGGAGAACACACAATCATGGAATTCCTAACACCGTGCATCTTGGGCAACTTGTGGCTTTGGCAGCTGAGCTATTTCCTTTTCCTCCTGGGAGAGGAAAGGAAGGGGAACAGAGCACATGAGGTGATTCCTCTTTGCCTCCTCTGCATCCCATCCCCCAGTCCAAAGTGTAACAGACTCTCTCTAGGCTTAGAAAGAAGACAGAGTCAGTGTCATAAGGAAATATGGTTCAGTACACATACTCAGCACTACAGGCTTTATTAGATGCCATATACCTGTCAGAAAAATCATTAGCAAGATCCTTAACCTGTTTTATGTGGAGACACATTGCATAGGAATGTTTGCTAAACCATAGCTTCCTGAAGCATACAACTTTAGCCTGACTTCAGAAAAGAACATTCTTTAATGTTATGTTACATTTTCTAGCAGAAAATTAGGAAGAATACTAAGAAAAATCTAGTTTGAATGGGTAGGAGTTAATGAGAATCTGATTTTTTTTTCTTTAATGCATTAATTTTATAAGCTAGCAGCACAGTGAGTCAATACTGGGTGTATTAAACAAAGTGTTTTTCTTTTAAAGATATTCTGGAGCGTGTACAATAATATTCCTCCTGTGACTAGCCTGCCTTTGAGATGTAGTTATCATTTAATGAGAGGAGAGAGGCGGCCACTTTGGTAAGTGTCTTCTGTATAGTTTGAGGTTAAGGTGGGAGGGAAATGGTTGTGAACTTAATAAAATAATTTCATGCCAAATTGGAATGCCAAAGTAATTTTCTCCTGGTGGTGTTGCAAAGCCATTTTAGCCATGATTTAATTTTGAAATAGACCCCTTCCCTCTACCCGTTTCCCCTTGTGCTCCAGAGTGATGAGCAGGTGTCTCAGCATCCGCCCATGGAGGACCCCATTGCAGTCTCACAATACATAGGTCCTCGTTAGCTTGCTGAGGGTGCCGTGCAGTTCTTTGTATCGGGGTGTGGCATCATTTGGGTTTGTTCTTTCACTTGTTCAATAATGACCTGGACAGTGGAGTGAAAAAGCTTATAGGCTGGAGGGGAGATGAGGGAACAGATGTGGTACCCACATCTGTTATATGAACAAAGATCATATAACCTCAGACATACCTCATGTGGACCACAGAGAAAGTGTATGATACTGATCACGGCCCAGGGTCGAGGGGAAGGTGCCTTTCTTCTTTAATAGCTGGAGTGGTGTTGAGGGTGGAGGACAGTAAGCCAGTTTGCCTAGGCTGGAGTCCCAACTAGTAGTAAATCCTTGCATCATGTCCCTCAACTGATCTAAGCCATTTACTCATTAATAAAATGGGAATATATCTTAGCTCTTCGGTAGCAAATGGCAGAAACGTAAACTGAGCCAAAAAAAAAAAAAAAAAAAAAAAAAAAAAGAAAATTTGATGTTTTT